ATCTAAATATGTAATTAAATGTCTAAAAACATATTTCTAACTATATTATACTGTATATGCTCCTAATTATGTATTGTATATTTATTTCTAAAAACACAAATACATACAAAGGCCTTATCAGATGGCTCATCCATTATTTCCAAGAAGCTGTCTTGTTGTCTTGTAACATCTATAGACAAAATGCATATGGGATCTTTAGGAGTCAGTTTTTGTTCTTCTGTAAGAACTGTGTTAAGCATTAAGTATATGAGGATAAGACAAGGGCACTCTTGTGTAAACCTTAAACCCAGTACCTTAGAGCTCAGTTAAGAAGAAACTATGTTTACATAAGAATAAGTGGCCCAAGATGGCAAGAGCTGCAGGCTACCTAGGGAAATTCTGACGAAAGGCAGGGAACTGGGGTGGGAATGTGGTACTTGCCTAGCATGGACTAGCCCTTGGGTTTGAATCTCAGCACAAAGAAGGAAGGAAGGAAATGAAGAAGGGAAGGAAGGGAGGTAGGGAGGAAGAAAGGAAGGGAAAAAAGGCATGGAGTTCTGTGAGAGAGTTAGTGGAGCACTGCCCATATGTTTTCTTCTTCAAATTCTCCCAAGGGTTCCATGGGGTTATACTATTCATATTTTAGATGGGAGAAAGCTGCAGTTGAAAGAGGTTAATTTTTTTCAGAACAAACCAGATGAAGAGCTCAGGCAGGCTCCTTCCACTATGTCATGTTGCCCCCTCTAATTAATTTTTTTCTCCCCAGTGGTTGCTATCTGCAGTGACCTTACCTACTCTGTCCTTTTTTCATTCCCCACTCTGTTCTTGATTACACTGTGTTCTTGAGATCTCTGCTATAGCTATTCTGCAATCTGGGTTACTCTTCTAACACCTTCAGATCTACTAAACCCTGCTACATCTGCCTTCAGGCTGACCTAGATTTATCTTTCTCTTCCCTGAGCTCAAAATGATGGTCACAATTAAGGGAACGTTTTTTTTTTTCTGTTGAGATTCTATTACCTTTTTCTAAGGGTAAAACTGCCATTTTTACTGACTGCACCTTGGCTGTAATTAGCCAAGAACAAGCTTCTGATGAAGGGCCCAGCAGCTCTTAGACATGTTTTCAAATGAGATTGTGATATTATTTTTTTTGTCATTTTTTCCTTTTAAAAAATTCATTAAGTTTATTATTGATACATTTTATGACTACATTCATCATCTTGTTTCTTATTTTTCCCCATACCCTTTTCTCCCTTCAACCCCTCCACTCCTCCTTATTTACAAAAGCTTTGTTTCCATTTTTCCTTCTTTTTTCATTTTTTTCTTTCCTTTCTCCCCCAACCCTTCTCCTTCCCTTTGGATCTTTTCTTCCTATTTCACATTATCTGTCATACACTTTGGTCCTCATTTACACTTTAAAATTCTCACAGCAAAGAAGCAGTTTGTTATTTACACACATATGTCCTATTTATTTCACTTAAGGGTATGGCCTCAAGGTGCATCCATTTCTTTACAAATGTTGTGTTTTTTTTTTTTCAGCTTTAATTGAGTTTATTGGTACATTTTAGGGATACAGTACAGTTACATTCATTGTTGGGATCTTGTACCTCTACATGACAGGTCTTGGTTCTCATTTTTTCCCCTTGTCCCTGCCCTCCCTTCACCCCCTCCTCCCTTCCCCATTTACAACCACTTTATTTCCAGCTTTTCATTATCTCACATTTTTTTCTTTTCCCTTTTTACCCTTCCCCTACCCATCCCACCTTCCCTACACCTTTAGCTCCTTTCTTCCCATTTCTCAATGGTCGCTAGTTTCTTTATGGCTATTACTCCATTTTATAAAAACAGATCCCACATCTTCTTTATACAGTCTCTAGTTGATGAAGACAGTTGGGCTGTTTCCAAGATTTAGGTATTACAAATTGTGCCACTATAAACATGGGTGAACATATATTGCTGTAGTATGATGCTTTTGATTCTTTCAGGAAGATACCCAGCAGGGGAATAGCTGAGTCAAATGGGACCTCTAATCCTAGTTTTTTGAAGAATCTTTACACTGATTTCCTCTATACTCCCACTAACAGTGAAGAAGGGTTTCTTTTCCCCCACATCCCCAGAAGCATTTGTTATTGCTTGATTTCTTGGTAGCAGCCATTCTTTCTGGAGATGGAATTTCGGTGTTATTTTCATCTGCATCTCTCAAATGACCACTGGCGTTGAACATTTTCTCATATGTTTATTTGTTCTACTTCTATATCTGTTCATTTCAGATGCCACTTTTGGATAGGGTCTTTAAACTTAGGAGAGGTGTGTGATTTGAGTTCGTTATATACTCTAGATAGTAGTCCTTTGTTTGAGGAACAGCTGTTAAAAATTTTTCCCATATTGTGGGTAGTCTCTTCACTCTGTTGGTGGTTTCTCTCACAGTGCAGAAGCTTTTTAATAAGATGAGATCCCAATTGTTGATTCTTTGTGCCAGATCCTGTGGAACTGAGGTTTTGTTCATAGTCTTTTCCTATATGGCTGGAGATTGTGATATTCTGCTGCTTACACTTCATGTTGAAGAGGCAAAAATTGCCATGTTTTTTCCCTTGCAGGAGAGGTGAGATTGGAGTGGGATTTAAAAATTCAAGGGGAGTTAAATCCTTCCATAATTTAGAGATACTGTTTGAGAAACTTGAATTGTATTTAATTCTGTGTATCCTTGGGTTCTTCACTGATGGATTCAACCAACTGTGAATCAAAACATGTAAAAAAAAATCTGGCACTTGGACTGAATATATTCAAGCTTTTTTGTTTCTTGTCATTATTCCTAATCAATACTAACATTTACATTGTACTGTATACTGTAAATAACCTAGAGATGATTTAAAGTACACAGGAGAATATTTGTATGCCCTATGTAAGTCTAATGTCATTTAATATAAAGGACTTAACATCTTCAAATTTTTGTATCAGCAGAAGATCCTGGAACCAATATCCATGGAACAGAGACAATTTTATGGGAAAGTTAAATCTACAATGACATACAAGATGGAGTCTTGACAAAACAGTACATTTAATAACATATTAGCTATTCATAGGTGTTACCTTCCAATAGTTGTTTTCTCTAGTACAATAACCAAAGCTTGATGTGATTAAAAAAAACCCTTAATTCCTGAGTGGATTTGCATGTCAAGTATTTTTAAACAGTTGCCAACATTTTAACACTATATTCTAATCATATGACTAACTGTCAATATATTTATTGCATGGAACAAGGTTTACTTGAGGTAAGTGTTCATTATCTTCATTTTAGACATTTTAACAAGAAAGGAAATAAAAAAGAGCTTGGCAAGAATGCGGGCTCCTTGCTTATATAAAGTGGCTTATCTCCCACCTCCTGTGGGTAGTGCAGAAAATGGAAGGGAGAAAAATGGTGGTGCTAAACTCCTGCCCACGACTCCACATGGGAAAGGAAGAAGACTCCTTCATGTTTACAAGCCAGTGAAGAAATGAACCACGATCCACGCTCTAAGAACCCAAGCTGTGCTCTTTCTTCTCCTGTGCCTTTGAGGCTTGCTCATCTTCAGCCCTCCCGATGCACACTATGAAAGAGTTAGGGCTTATCCTGATCAACAAGAGCTTGGGTAGAGTCCAGAAATGAGATGTAGGACATGGTACTTTTCAAAATTTTGCAGCTGACTTTATGTTATGGTTTGAATAGGTTTTGTCTCCACCAAAGTTCATGTTGAAGCTGGGTCCCCATTGTGGCAGTGTTGGGAAGTGGGGCCTACTGGGAGATGTTGGTGTAATGAGGGTGGAGTCCTTGTGAATGGATTAATGCTTGTCTCTTAGGAGTGAATTCCTCCTCGTGTTGGACTGAATTAATTACTGTGAGAGCAGATTGTGGTAAATCAAGTTCTCTCTCTTTTGGATATGCCCACGGACCCCTTTGCTTTCCACCATGAGTAGATGCAGCATGAGGCCCTCACCAGAGACAGATGTCTGATCTTGCACTTCCCAGCCTCCAGAATTATAAACTAAAAATCATACTCCATATTTTATAAATTATCCAGTCTTAGGTATTCTGTTAGAGTGATTAAAAAATGGTCTTAGACAACTTTGACACGCACGTCCCTTGGAAGCAAGGAACTGGGTAACTACAAGATTGTGTGGTTCTAAGAAAACCACAAGGGATAGGGATATGTTGTATGAATTCATATGACTACTAAGTCCCTTGCTCTTCTTTTTCTGGAAGAGTGTTCCCTGATACCAACAGTGACGTTGGATTGAGCATCCAAAGGCTGTGTGTGTGTGTGTGTGTGTGTGTGTGTGTTACTATTGATTTAAAATTTGCATTTTGTTGTTTCTTCTTCATATATTATGCAATTCCTAATGGACTACCATAAACTTTGCTTTCTATTTTTTCCTTTTCTTTTATTAAGAAGAAAAAGACTGTTGGAAGTGAGAAGGCTTTGAAGAATCACTAAGATATGTTGGCTTTCTTGTTCAACCTTCTTGAGCCCATTACTTCCACTGCCAAAGAAGAGAGGAAGAACTCTCCAATAATTGAAGAAGTAAAGAATCAAGGTGAATCTTATGAAAGGATGGTGGAAATAAAGATTTAATACCAAAGGCTTTGGTACTTGTTAGATAAATTTATACAGCATATTCCTTGTGGCTCTGTGAGAACTACAGAATCTTGTGTATACCTAACAAGGATACTCTGTAGTCCCTTACTTCCAAGGGATATCTTAGTGTCAAAAAGGTGGTTTGGGGACACATAGTGAGAGCTGTGGAATACCATAGTATTGGAGTTTGGGCTTTGTTTCTTGGGCAATGGGGACCCCAGAACTTTAGAAGACAAGAGACATGGTAATATTTATGATTTATGTGAGTGACTTTGGTACTAGAGGATAGGTTGAGAAGGGTATCAATTAGGAGGCAGTTTAAACAGTAGAGATGGGAGCCTAAATTGAGGCAGTTTTGGTATAAATGTGCCACACTGGAAAAGTTGTGTTGGAAAAAGTATTCATGAAATTTGATCAAATAACAAGAAAAATAATGTGGAAGAAAAGTATGACCTAGAATGTGAGCTTGAGATGGAAAACATCCCGTGAATAGAAAAGGAATTCAATGAGGATAGAAACTTGGTAGGTTTTTTCTTAAATTGATTGAATTCTAAATATCTTTGGAACATCCAAAAACAGTTGTCCAGAGAATTATAATTTTTGGATTGGAGCTCAGAAAAGGGTTGGAATTCAAAATGAGTATTTGGGAGCATAATAAGGTTGTTGAAATTGCAGAAGAGAGCAAGGGTGCTTACTGGGAGAGAGGGTAGCATGAAAGAAAAGACAGCTCAAGACAGAACCTTGAATTTGAGGAGTTGCAAGGAAAGAGGCTGGGAAAAAGCCATGTGAAATAGAAGGATGATATTGTAGAAGCTGAGAATGATATTACTTAAGAAGAAGCAGTTATTTAGAAAAGAATTTCAAAGAAATCATTTTTTTTTTGGTCATAAAGAAGTGATCAGTGGCTTTTTGAGAAAGCAAAATTTCCAAGGACTGAGAGACAACAAAGAGAGCCTAGTGATTGTGGCTTGGATGAGAGAGAAGGGAAGTATAAATGGTGAACAAAAACTGTTCTTGGGAAAGATTCTGTAGTGAAGAGAGGAAGAGCAATATAGCTGGAAAGGGAAACATTTCTTTTTTGTATGATTTATCAGTTTGCAAAGAATTTTTATATCCACTGACTCATTTGATTCGCAAGATAACTGCCGGAGGTAGGAAGGTCAAGTAGTGAAAGAAAACAAAAACCAAAACAAGACTTAAGAGTAAGAAGAAATGGAAAGCCTAGCTCATGGTCACTTGTTGCAAATTAAGTAGAAGAACTAAGTATAGAGCTTAAGCCATTTGGCTGAGTCCAGTGGCATTTTTGCAGAGCCAAAATGAAGTGTTTACTGTATTTGGATATTGAATTTCTTGTTAAAGGGATTTTGATCATATCCAAGAGACAGTGGGGAGCTAAAGGCAAATTTTGTCCCAGGGAATACCATTTTTAAACCAATGCCCGATGGAAATAAACCTGGCTAGTAGAACAGAAATCTCAGTGAGGCAGACATTTAGGATGTGGCTTCCAACCAGGACACAACTTCAAATAAATATCCAATCACATGCTGAGAAAGTTATTTCTCTTTCTCATTTGTGTTCAGGAGAAGGCATCACTTTGCTAGTGTATTTTTAACACATCTCAAACACTCTCTAACCTCCTTTTTTGAACAAAGAGGGAACAGGCCCCAGATAGAAATGGGTTTGTGGTGTTTGTATTCCCTCTATTTATGTTTACCTTCTGTTTATGACAAGTGATATTGATGTCTATTGTTATTATAGACAGTATACTATTAAATATATCTAAGCAAAAAATCAAATTAAGAAAAGTATTGTAAATTTTAAGACAGGTGTACCCTTATACGGGAGGAAATCTATGAATATATATTATAATAATTAAAGTATGGGAAGTTCTGAACTTGACAGGATTTAGATCAGGGTGAGCTGATGGCCATGGGAATAGACAAGAAAGGAAGACTTAAGAAAGTGAAAGGTGGGGAGGTTGTTATTGTACTAAACTATTTTGTGCATCATTTCGTTGAATGCTTTTGGCCACAGTAATGGAAAATTTAAATAAAAAAGGTTAATGCAATAAAATGAATTTATTATCATATTTCAAGTAGCCTTGAGGCAGGGTGGCTCCAGGATTGTTTGTAAATGTTTCATTGATATCACTAAGTACTCAGGTTGATCCATCTTCCAGCTTCAGCAAATAGGCTATTATCTTCAGGGTTCTCCGATAGCTAATGTGGTTCCAGGAAGCCCATTGTGATGTATGATGTTTTCAGTGCAACAAGAAGACATTTTCCTGACCTGAAGAGTGGAGGGTAAAGAACCTTTTCCCTGAAGGCACCTCCATCAAAAGATTTTCCTTTAGAGTCACCATCAACAACAACAACAAATGCCATATATTCATGCATAAAACGATTAATACAAAGTAAAATCAAATTACCGTAACTACGCTAGGGACTTATTCTGAAAGCTAAAAGCAAAGATCCTTTCCAAGAAGGATGGAATTCTCAAGTGAACAGGGGCTCTGTTAAAACATGGTGGATAGGCAGCCAACCATGTCTTGTACAACTTCCCTGGAGAGCTGCAGGTTTTCTCCCAGTAACAGTGGTTTTGAAATTCCTCAAATTCATCCTTGCATATAAGTAGGGAAGTTCTTGAGGCTTGTGTTTTATTATTTCTTAACATTTTACTTAGCTCTTTTCTCCATGTGTTGGATTAAGGCAGAACGAAATACTTCCACTGCAAAATCAGCTTCTGGCTTAGTGACACACATTGGGGGTGCAATGCGGAAGGTCTGAGGGGACAGAGAAAAACAGCAACAAATCAGCAGAGAATCAAATGCATTAAACTAAAATTTTAAAGTCTTGTTTTTATGACATTTCTCACATTTCTCTCCCTGGGTTCACCTCTTCTCCTGAGCAGTCTCCAAGTCCTCCCTTTTCCAGTATTTATGCAAGTCTTAGCACCATGTGTCTCTGTCCCATTTTCTTTTGTCATTTATTCATCGCCTGGTCTTTCTCTGAGATCCCTGGCTCCTCTCTACACTCCATTTCTGCCCCCCAACATGGGTGAGCCCCACGTCCATGTGTAAAACCCAAACAGCTGTCTTCTCTCTTCTGATGGCCACAACTCCTAGAACCTTCATCTCTATTCTGCAGCCATTCACACCCGTGATCTGTGCCAAGAGAATGACCCAATTCATCATTTTGATTACACCTACCCTTTTTATGAAAAGCCTCCTTATCCTTCATTATCTGTAGTTCTTTCTCCCCAGTTATTATTATTTCTTCTTTTCATTCTTATGCAGTTTGGGGCACAGAGTTGACCAAACTGCTCTTTTATCTGTCCCCTCATTTTGCATGCATTTTCACCCCAATTCTCTGCACCCTAGAGACTGCATCCAGTCTCAGCCTAGATTAAAGCTATACTGCTTTACTCCAACCTACATGGCTGAGAAGTGTTAACAAAACTGATTACACAGTAAACCTGACTGACAACACTAAACATTCAGCCTTCAACTTCTGAGATTTTCTTGTCCTCTGCCAGCTTCCTTTCTTCTTCCTTTTTTTTTTTTTTTTTTTTTTTTTTTTTTTTTTTTTTTTGGTACTGGGGATTCAGCTTGGGTCCTTGTGCTTGCAAGGCAGGCCACTGAACCTCTGAGCTAAATCCCCGGCCCTGCCAGCTTCCTTTCTCGTTTCAATTACTATAATTCTCAATTTCTTCTCTTAACTATTCATATTTCTATTTCATATACAGTCATGCCTCATATTTTTAGAGAAAATTGAAGCCTCCAAGCAATAGATTTCTATAAATTTGTTTGTTCCATGCTTATATCCTTTCCTGAAGGCTCACAGCTATCTTTCTTATTCAGCTCTAAATTGTCCGCTTGTTCCCCTGACCTTAGATACTCCCACTGTGTTCATCTAGGTAACATCATCGTGTTCTCTTGCCCCTCAACTGTTTTTCAACTTCCCCCCAGCCTATAAAGAAGCAGGCTTAACGTGCTCATAATCCAAATCCAAACCACACCAAATAAGAATCTGTCCCTTCTAGCTGCTCTGCAAGTGCTATCTTGCTTTAATCCAAATCTTAAAAGACTGTGCGTTGGCCACGATTTTCCCTGAATCCTTCCCTGCTTGACATCACAACCCTCTGTAGTCTAGTTTCTTCACCTTTCGGACATCATTGTACTCAAATGACTTGCAAGATGTGCATTTCTCCACCCCTGGACCTTCCTGGCTTTCTCTGGCTGCACTTGACACTGGACCTTCCTTCTTCCTGAACCTCTCCATTCTTTCTTTTCTATAATTCTACCTTCTTCCAGCTCTCCTCACATGTGCCTATCCTTTTCTGCTCTTCCGCAGGCACCTTCTTCTTCTACCCACTAAATGTTACTCTTATGTAGGTTTTTCACTGTGCTTCTCAGCCAATCACTAGGCTTCCCTTAAAATGCCCTTATCTTACCACCTTTGTGCTGATGGCTCCCAGTCATGAGCTTCCCCTTTTCCCCAAGCTGCACACTTGAAGACAAAGCCAGATGTTTGTAAGCCTCTCAAACGGAGCCTGTTCAGAGATGAATTCATTCACATCTACCCTAAACCAAGTCAGAAATAAGGGATTGATCCTTGACTCTCTTTCACTCTTCATATCCAAGTCCTGTGCATTTTACTGCCAGAATTATCCTCAGAATACCTCTTCTATCCTTCCTACAACAGCTTACGGTCGAACAGCATCCTCTCCCCATTCCTACTCAGGCTCACTGCCTTCAGTCTTGGCCCTTTAGGTTTATCTCTTTCAAAGGACACACTGAGAAATCAAACTGTCTCGGTTGGAATCTTGATTCTGACACTGACTAGCTACGCAACTGGGGCAATTAACTGAACCTCTCTGCACCTATTTATTTTATAGAATAAGGATAAGGGTAGTACTTACTTTCTAGGCTTGTTGGGGGTATTTAATGGGTCAGCACATATGTGCAAAGTGAGGAGAACAGTGCTTGACAAGGAGAATGGGCTTCTGATTGTTTCCACTCACTGCCTTGAGCCTTATGCTTCAGCCACCCCAGCCTGTGCACAATCGTTTCACTCTGCCATGTTCCTGTGTGCACTTCAACTCTCCGCCATTGGTTAAGACACTGCTAGCCAGAAAGGATGGTCTAGACATCCACTCTCTTTGTGCCTATAACACCTCTTTTTATACTTATAAATGAGCTTACTACATTGTATTTAATTCCCCATTTATTATTTTTGCTCTTCCATCAACTTTATGAGGGACTACATTTTACCATTGTGGTTTCAGTTCCCAGTATATCATCTGCTGCTTAGCCCTTATGATTCGTGTTTGTCAAGTAACCAAGAGCTAGCCAAGCAAATGAACAATTAGTTGTTTCATATCTTATGACTTGTATGTCTTAGATTCTAGTAATTATATGATTTGACTTGTTAAAATATGTATAAAGTTTATATAGAGATCTCTCCTGACTGCTTCAATTTTCTCTGAAAAGTGTGAGGTGAGGACTGGGTACTTCAGCATCCATGGATATCATGAGAGGCAAGAATGGAGAAGAAAACTGGGAAGAATGAGGGATGTTTAAATTGGTAAAAATACTAAATTACTGTTAGAGAAGAAGTTCTGATATTCCACTGCGCATGAGGTGATTATAGAAAACAACGCACTGCATGTTTCAAAAAACTTGATTTTGAATGTTCTCACTACAAAGAAACAATAAATGAGATAGATATTCTTACCTTAATTTGGACATTAAACTATAATATATATTATATATATGTGTATAATAATATATATGTGTATATGTGTATATATATTTTATATATAATATATATATATATGTGTGTGTGTGTGTGTGTGTGTGTGTGTGTGTGCGTGCCCCATGCTACCCCATAAATGTGTACACTTATTGTGTCATAATTTTTTTAAATGTTAAAAAATGGGCAAGAAAGATGACAACGGACAAGAATCATTTCGGAGAAGGGCAGAAGTTACCGTCACGCCTCAACCTTGGAGGGCTTGAAAGATTTAGGGCCAGGTCCGGTTTCTCAGAGCAGCACCCTCCCTTGCCCGCGGCGCGGGGAAAGGTCAAGATCCGGGCTGTGCAGTCTGAGTAGGCTTTTCTAGAAAGGAAGCACAGAGAGCTCCCCGCCCGAATCTTCGGAGGGAGATGGGCAGTAGGAGTGGCCGACGTTGAGACCACGCCCAGGATGAGCGCCCACCCCTCCTGCAAGGGTCCTCTGGGCCTTCCAGGGCTGTTAGGTTGCTTCCTGACTCAACAAAGACACACTAAGCAGGTTCAGAAAGCTGAATTCAGGGCTAAGAGTGGCTGATTGCCTAAGAGTGCTTTAAAAGGAATGAAATTAATTCATACATGCGACAAACTTTTAATTGCGTGACTCTTATGTTCTGTTTAATCACTTGTATTGTAAATCGTCTGGTTTGGCTGTATATTCTATATATGCTTATTTTATCTTTTCCCCAGAGCTGAGATAATCAAATCATTTTACCACAGCTCTCCCTAGTGTTCAAAAGGCTTCACTGCCCTCTTTTTGAACATACCTGAGCACTATCTCTAGAAGAGGGTTGAGTGCGTAGAACAATCAGTGAAGAAAAGCCACCAGCACTGTGACATAAGGAAAGCGCCAATTTAAAGTGATAAGTTAGACACCCGTCTTGTTGTTCTTACCTGAGAAAAAGTGCCACCTCTGCCGAGCAGGAGCCCCATATCCTTGCAGTCCTCATGGATTTGATTTACTTCATCACAAGGAAGAGGCTGGCGGTTCACCTGTGAATGCATTTAAAAAGTGTTTTCTATTTGGTGTTTGAGTGGTTAGAGGAGTTATTTCCTAACAAGGAGAAAACAAAACAAAACAACTCCAAACCAAAATTCAAGCAATCCATGCTCTGGAAATTAAATAAAACTGTGAATTGCTGGATGAGATTTTTGGAGGGAATCCTTAAAAGTATTTGTTTTTATTCCACTTCATCCCAAATCTCTAATGACAACATGAAGTTCCATGCAGATGGCCAAGATCTTGGCTCTACTACCAGCTATCCTGGGAGTTCACTTCTTACTAGAAGAATTTGGAGTCGGTTTAATTTGTGTTGAAATTCTGCTCAACTCTTCACGGTGTCCTGACCGCGTAGAGAGCTCCTTTCAAAGTCCAGGGGCTGACTCAGCAATTGCAATTGCGCAAGTAGTCCAGGGGTTTCCTGGGCTACAGCAGGAAAGGGGCCTCAAAATCTGCTCTGTCTCTCCCAAAAGTTCCTGCTCCAGGGTCAGGGAACGTAAGCACTTCAGGAGGCAAGAGGCTCTGTCAGATTCCTAGGCATCTGATGTTGTTTCCCAACCTGAGGCCTCAACCACATCAATGCTTACTGAGGACATTGCGCTGGAATCTGCCATTTCAGTCTGTGAACACAAATACCTCCTACTAACTTAATTGTTTCAAGTCTGCTTGTGCCTACTTTACCTGGAAGCCCTCACGGTATGAATATTTGGGCCTCGTGTTAAGCCAAATTAAAGTATTTGGGGCAGGCCTTAGGATTTGTATTTTAAAAATTGTCCTCAGGTAGGTGGGGAACTCCAGTCCTCCTCAAGAAGCCCTTGGTGCTGTTGCTGCCCATGTCCCCCTCTTTCTTCCAAAGACCAGTCAGGGAACATCTGTGCTGGGCCTCGTTGTTTGGTTTTCAATGTTTCAGACATGATCCTTGCTCATGGCTCAGCCTCTGCAGGTAGAGCAGTTTTCTTCAGTGCACTGAGCTTCTTTGTTTTCCTCTGGGTTTCCTACACATGCTCCCTCTGGGCTCTGCCATTCACTCCCTTCCTCCCACCAGCCTTTCAACTCTCTCCCAAATCCTTCATTCTTTGTAAGGGACTAGTATCTGAGAGCACAATATGGCTGGGCTTCCTAGAGATGCTTGAGTTTTTCTCTATCTTAAAGCTGTACGATAAGGAAAGGAACATTCCCACAGGTTTTGTTCTTCTTAAAGCCCTAAGATCCCTAAGGTGCTGTCAAAATGCCCTGTACTTTCTAAGGCTTTATTAATACAGTATTTTATTAATTTAAATTGCATAATTGCAGGAGACATAGAGTGTTTAAAGTTCAAACTATAAAAATAGGCATTTTTCTGACCATATTTGAAATTTGCAGTTTTTCAAAATTCATGGGTGCTCTAGGAATGTAATCACCATGAATTTCAGGGGTCCACTGTACTATATCTTGGACACCTTTCCATATGAGTATATTTCTTTACTTAGTCTCCTTAAAGATCGCCTAGTATTTCATTATTTGCCAGTAATTCTTTCCATTTCCTATTATTGAGCAATTAGATTGTTTCCAAATTTTCATGACTATAAATAACACCACCAATATTCCTGTTCATATATATCTTCATATGTGTTTTTGAGTATTTTTTTAGGACACAATTGTGGGAGTGGAATTGCAAGGTCAAAAATGTATAGACATTTCCAATTTTTATACATACAGAAAAATGTACCAATTTATATCCTCACTGAAAGCATGTGGGAGTATCTATTTGTGGTTATGCTAAATAGAACTATAGCAATAACTATAACTATAAGTATAACATCTGGGATGCTTTAATTATGCGAGTGTGCCCTGAAGTGTTGCAGGGACTTGAAACCAATGTACAAAAACAAAGCACTGTTTGCTTTCTGACCTCAAGAGTATACAAATTATTTAGGAAAATAAGTTATTTACACATTAAAAAACTGAGTCAATAAATACACGGTAGATGCCAAAAAATGAATGTTTCTTCCCCTTGACCCCTCCACATTCCTTCCAGTTTATGTCATGAGGATGGAGGCTTCATGAATAAAATCAGTTCCCTTACAAAAGGCGCAGAGAGCTCCCTTCTGCAAGTTACAGAAGAGAGGAAGTGGGCCCTCACCCGACACTGATTTATGGAAACTTTGATCTTGGACTTTTCAGTCTCCAGAATTGTGATAAATACATTTCTGTCATTTATGAGGTACATAAACTAAAGGCCTTTGTTATAGCAGCCAGAACTAAGACAGTGGAAAGGATCTTTCCAAAAGAGTACCTTCAACAGTTAATACCCAAGGAATCCTCTGAAGGCCAAGGCTCTTGCATGGGGAGAGTTAGGTAGGCTTTTCGGAGGAGGTGTGATGCAGAGCTGGACCTTGGAGAAGACTAGGACTTCGGTACATAGAGACATAAAGAAGTGTGCTGCATTTTGTGATGGAGGACAAGTCAACACGTGGGCTTAATAGAATGAATGGTATTAAGGGGACAGTGACTAGAATTGGGGATTGGAAGAGCTGAGATTCAAATCAGTGTCCAAGCTTATTTGGCAAAACAAAGTAGAAATGAGCTCATTCTCCAGATACTGCTTTACAACTTGTTTTACTTTTCTACAATATAGTTGGACCATCTCTCCATATCTATGCCATCGTAGTAGGAATATGCTGTAATTAACATCAGTGGCCTTTTGGGTGAATTCTGATGTTTTGGAATGACAAAGTTGTGATGAATATCTTTGTTCATGTGACTCTGACCATGTAGAAATTGTGTTTGGAATAGCCCCACCCCTCCTTTCCCACTGAGTTTTCTTCTCTGAATTCTTAACTTTGAGTATAGATATATATATTTAGGAAGTTCCTGGGGTGGGGACTAGGATAGACTTTTAAAACAACCTTGTACTGGGCCACAGCTGAAGATCTGTACAGAGTGGCTCATGAGCTAGAGAGGTTCACCTTGTTTATTCTTTGTTTTTCTACTGTCTTCCCTGAGCTTTCAAATCTTATTTAAATTGGCCAGCTTTGTGCTGGCTTTGCCATATGGCATTAATGGAAGAGTTTTATATTCATGGTGTGGCCTGAATATTAAAATAATTGAGCATCAATCCTTCTAAAATAGTATGGTAAGACCAAATGTGTAGCAAGAAATTAATCAAGGGAAATTGGATCCCGTGGACAGAAATTAGGGTTATGAGGTTGGCCTGGGGACTCTTCATTATGCCATGGTTTCCTTTCTTTTCTCTCCTCAGAGTGGGACTCTGCTTCCCTGGAAGAAAGGCTTGATTTCCTACTGGCATGGATTTTAGAGTCAGCAGTAACATAAATAGACAAGCAACAGAAGGATTTGAGAGATGAGGCATCCACAGGAGTCACAGATTATTTTGTAATATTGAAACTGGGAGTGGGAAGAATGGCAGAGGGCGAGAAACACAAACAGTGATATTGGGAGAAACAGTGCTAAATCCACTCGTCATACTGAGTTCAAGATATCAGTGGAGTACGTAGTACGTTCATCCCTGGTCACTCAGAGACTGAAAGGCATTCAAAATCAATCAAACAAATACAAAATGGAATACATCTTTAACACCCTCACCCCAAACCTTCTCCATGGCTTTCTTCATTTTCAGTAGCTCTCCTGGCTACCTGCCCTTTCCCAAATAATTTCTTCTATTCCACGTATTTCCAAGAATTCATTCATTGCCCATATTCTCTATTTAGTCTGGTAAAAGTAATATTAGCTCTCCTTTCCAGCTCTCCTCTACATCTCAGATTTCCCCATGACCTGCTAACATTTTCTTCATACTCAATACCCGCTACTTATCTTGCAAGGAAGGACTTTACTGAGTCTTGCTGTCTGCAGATGCTTCCTCCCTGAAAATAAATGAGGGGAGCTTTGAGATGAATTCCCTACACTAACTCCTGCTGGCTCCCAGCAGCCAGCAAGTGAGCACCGGCTCAGGACCTACCTTATCCTGCACCATTTCAATCCCTATCATGAGGCCTTTGCCTCGGACATCTCCAACAGTGTCAAACTCATCTCGCAGCTTAGCAAACTTCAGTAACATGTAGGTGCCAACTTCTTGACTGTTGTCCTGTGCTTTTTCTTCTTTAATCACCTGTTGAGAGAAAGTGCCAATGACTTTACATGAAGAAGGTTCTATAAGATTGACTGAGAAGCACAGAGATATTTATGCATGATTTTTTTTCTTTTTGCAGCATGAGGGATTGATCCCAGAACCTACAGAGTGAGCTCATTCCTAGTCCTTTTATACACACACACACACACACACACACACACACACACACACATAATTTTGAGACACTGGGTCTCACTAAATTACCCAGGCCTAGGCTCAATCTTGTGATCCTTCTGCACACATAATTTAGACACTGGGTCTCACTAAATTACCCAGGCCTAGGCTCAATCTTGTGATCCTTCTGCCTCAGCCTCCCAAAGTACTAAGGATTATAGGTATATGCCACCGTGTCAGCTTCCATAATCTTTATAATAATTTAACCAGACAAATAGAAACCGGGACAAAATCTAGTGTGCATTCACTGTGGCCTTGGTAGAAAGGTTGTTTCCTCCAGATACCTCCTCCTTTCAGGGATGAGTAAGAATTTAGGAGATAGTGTGAGTTTGTCCAGGTGTAGTCAGTAACACAAATTCTAGAAGTTCACTATTTCCAGGCTGTGTGGAGAACTAAGATACAGAACTGAGAAAGACAAAGGTTCTAAAGAAAGAACATTTCATTTCCCTCCTGGGGGATGGTGACCTTTGTCCAGCAGCCCATACCCTGACACAGGCTCTCATAGCCCAAGCACTTTAGCTTGGAGCTGGCTTCTTTAGCCAAGCTGAGCTCTTTTATGCCCAGAGAGAGGTAGGGCACCTGGAGATATAAAAGGATTCTCATTTAAATTCCACTCACAAAAGATACTTGTGACTTTGGATAAGACATACGAAATATAATGCCTTTATATTTAGCTGATAATGAGTGCATGACTCCAGGTAAATCTTGACGGCTTTACCACTTATTGCTATACTTAAACCCTCTCTACCTTCTAAATTGGGTACAAATGAGAAAACAATTAACAACAACAAAAGAGCCGGCATTGTCTACAAAATGAAATAAATGATATATTCTTACCCTCACTCTTTGATCCCATGATTTAGCCATATTTGAAGATGAGTGTTTAATCAACAAAACCACTAAATACTTTTAAATTTAATTATTTTTGAAAAAGGTAAATCACATTCACCATTCAAAAATCAGGAAGTATAAAAGTATAGCCAGTAGAATGACTCTTGTGATCCTTGACTCCAAACAAGTTGTTCTTGCTATAAGTAACTGCTGTTATTATCTTTCTGGATATTTTCCAGAAATACACCATACTTAAGCAAATGGTATTTTGTCAAGGACATTTTAAAAAAGACATTTTTAACAGAAAAATTGGCTGTCACCAGGCTTAATCGAGACAGGGCTGAACAATTGTTTATATAGGTGAATTACCTGGCTGGAATAAAATAACTTACTTTGTCTTTGGTCCTTTAATTTATTACAGCATAACAAAGGAAAGGAAGAAAATTACCCACACAATACGGGGCCAAAATTAAAAGGGAAAAATGGATGGCAGTTACTAACTATCCATAAAAAGCTACTCAGATAACAAAACATTTTCCATGGTCCCCCCTGCTAGGGGAACCCTTATGCTTCCCATGTATATAAAGGTGATTATATATTATTTCTTATTCAAGTACCCAAAGCAGATTTTTAAAAATGGCCAAGGGGATAATGGGAATAATTACTACAAGCCTAACTTAAGTTGAAAAATTACTTGTTAACTTCCCCCTTTAAGACAATGTGATAGAGTTATGACGATGTGTGTGGCTTTGGAATTGTAGTTTCATGAAATGTATGATGTAGGCAATGTGGCTGCTGGAACGCACCTCAAGCACAGCGGATCCGATGGCGCAGGCCATGGGGTTCCCTCCAAAGGTGTTGAAATGAAGCATACATCTAGCCAAGGATCTGGCAATTTCTAGGAGAAAGTAAAATGTAGATAGAGTAACGCATCCCATCTGTCACCTCCCATCACACACGTTCCTGTTATAAATGTTCTGGATACGTGAGATGCAATGTGCTGTTCTCTTTTGTTGAGACATGCGCAGAGCTCTTGGGCCTGTAGCTGATCGGTATGGTAAGACCAAGTAATCATGTAGGTGTTTCTTTCAAGAACATGATTTTGGAGAAATTTTAGGGCAGGTTTTGTGGCATATTTTCCTACCGCCTGTGAGTGTGGTGGAGCCCTAAATTTAATTGAGGAATGGAAGAATTAGTTTTATTTTTAGAAAAGAGCAGCAGAAAAGGCTTTTTTCCCCATCTGCCTCACAGTCTGGCAGACTGATTGCTTCTCTTCTTCATTTTCTTAGGAAGTGCCTCAAGTGGTTCCCATCATTGCCTCCAACCTATGCAAGTGTTAGTCCACACGCTTTATACCAGTTGTGGGAAGCCCAAAGGCTGACACTTGGGGTCCTACCTTGAGTTGTCACAACTGCTGCCATGGGAAAGCCATTTCCAATCCCTTTAGCCATGGTGACAATGTCAGGTAGAACTTCATGGGTTTGGAAGCCCCAGAAATGAGAGCCCAACCTTCCAAATCCTGTCTGTACCTGATGAAAAAAGATTCAAAATCACTGGAAACCTTTTGGGAAAAGCCTGTCCCCCCAGCTCCTGTTCTCTTCCTCATCATCTAGTTCTCCTGGTCCTCTCTCTCCTCTTTTTGTTCCTCTTCCATTCTCTCCTCCATATCATCACCACCACCCTTGTTCTGTTCCTCAACCTGTGTCTACGTTTTTAGGCACCAAAACCTATTTACCAGCTTGGTGCAATTCTGGATATGTTTCTTAAGTCTTCTGCGTCTTGCTTAACTTCACTGCCAAGTAGGAATATTAATTTCAATACATCACAGAGCTGCTATGAGGAGCCTCTAAATAATGCATGTGGGAAAGTTCACCATGATGAACAGTTCTTAACAAGCATTTCCTGTGTGCAAGTCAGTGGGTAGAAAAGTGGAGAAGCTGATTCTGGCCCAGGCTGGAGGAGTAGGAGTTGCTGTCTGTCCAGTGGGCCCCTCAGCCCAGATAGATTGGTTGTGCTCCCCTTTTCCTGAGAACTGTGTTAGGAGAATGGCCAGCCAAGTCAGTGAGCTCAGGGTTGAACGTCTCCACTCTAGAGGTTGCTGTGGTTTGGACTGAAAGTAGGCCTGAGTTTTTGTGCATGCTCTCTTCTCTCTAGAAGATCCTCTTCCTGCCTCTTTTGTTTTATTTATTTAGTTTTTTGGCACTGGGGATTAAACTTGGGACCTTGCACTTGTAAGGCAGGCAGCAGAACCACTGATCTAAATCCCTGACTCTCTCTCCCTGCCTCTTCATCTCAATAACTTGTCTTTTGAGACCCAACTGCATGGTCACCTGTTCTAGGACACTTTTCCTGAGCCCAGTAGGATCCCACTCAAGGCAATCTGGACATGTTGCTGGCAGAGCCTCTCACCATAGATTATCATTCCCAATGTATATATTTGATGGCAGGGACCACTCATTCCTCCTCTGTCCACAACACCTAGCACAGGGCTTGATACAAAATAGACACAGTGCTTGTAGAATGAATTAAAGAATGGCAGAATATTCACACCAGGGAAACTATTTACTAATAAGATTACTGACATTTAGAAATGGGAGGAAAGGAGCTAAAGGTGTAGGGAAGGTGTGATACGTAGGGGAAGAACAAAAAGGGAAAAGAAAAAAATGTGAGAGAATGAAAAGATGAAAATAAAGTGTTTGTAGATGGGGAGGGGAGGAGGGGGTGAAGGGAGGGCAGAGGTAAGGGGAAAAAATGAGAATCAAGACTTGCCATGTAAAGGTACATGATCCCAACAATGAATGTAACTGTACTGTATCCCTAAATGTACCAATAAACTCAATAAAAAAAAAAAAGAATGGCAGAAACATCCTTTTGAACAAAGCCTCATGAACATCTCCCTGCAAGTTTCTGCTTCAGCCTTAGGTCCTTTGGTCTCTTTCTGGCTCAGTGTCTCTCTTGCTTTGCACATACACTACACATTCTCGGGTGGGACAAGTGCAGACACCTGAAACTCATTTTAAATGCAGCTAAAATAACATGTTTCCTTCTCAGGAGGGTTTGTTATTTCCTGTACTCACTCCAGGCTGCTGTAACAAAAGCAGATTCATGGGGTTATTCTTCGATAACAGTGACCAATACAGGGGAATTGTTTAGACATGGGTGTGAGAGAGATTTGGGCTAGACTCCTGGGTTTCTTGCTTCCTAGTTATGGGTCTCCAGGAAAGCTGATTAACTGGTTCAAATGGGATAATGTAGGAAAATCTAACCATCTCATCTTTCTGATTATTTTCCTTTTTCACTCCATCTACGTAAATGCCATACATAAGTGGTATAATGATAAAATATCAGATGGCTTGGACAATGCAGAAAATGGTGTAGAACAATAAGCCATGTTTAGTCACCTAGGAAGAATACGTTTCATAGAATTGGATGTGTAATAGGACAGAAATGGATCATTGTAAGGTGTATAAACTCAAGTGTGTCAGGGATGAATATGTCTGAGAGGGTGGAGTGGCTGGGTCTAGGAGGAAGCGGGGCTCTGGATGTGTACAATGGCTACAAGCAGTCAACATAAAATTCATTAGGACAGTCTTTCTTAGGGTTACCCTCTGTGAGACAGTTTCCGATTATGTTCTTCAAAGTTATGAAGCCACATCTAGAAAATCCTGAAATTTATATTTTCTTCGAATTCAACCTACCTTCCCTTTAATTAGTCTACGTCAGTTTCATTATGTCCTGATTTTGAGATCAGTGTTTATTGTCTTCTCTGATGTAGCTAATTTCAAATTGATTGAATGGAGTTTTCTTATTTTATAACTAGCATATTAACTTTCTTTGTGTAAAATTTTATTTTGTTAGTACATGATCACAGTACCTGAAGTTTACATTCACTTTAGAGAGTAGGTACATGTACCTACCACATCTTGATTCTTTTTAAATCTCTTTCCCCTCCCCACCTGTCTCTTTCTTTCTCTCTCTCTCTCCATCTCTAAATTCCCTTTCGTCATCTTCATTATTATTGTTATTATTATTAGTTCATATTTATGACATATAGTGTTTACATTTATTGTATTTGGCACATGTACAAAAACACATCTTAAATCTCTTTATTTCCCCTTCCTTTCTCTTCTTCCTTTGTCCTTGATCTCTTGGACCCCTTCCCACTCGCAAAAGATCTATCTTCCTGTTTCCTTCTATCTATTACAAAATAAAGGACTGACAGATTAACTTTCTGCAGTGAGGACTTTGTTCAGTTTGCAGGCAGGGTGGGGAGAGGAAGAGGAAGACTGAGCAGGAGGAAGGCAGCCTGAGCTGTGTCAGTGCACCAGGGGCATCATTGCATTTGTGGCACAACAGACCTGGACGCACAGGAACTAGTGGCACCTGAAAAATTTCTGCCATGGGGTCAGCTCAGTATTAGCGGTAGAGAGAAACTGTTCAGGCAAAGATGGTAGGGTTGGAAGAGGCATGAAAAAAATGTAAGTTCTGTACTTCTATGTCACTGGTGATCCTCCTCTGGTCTTATAATCTTCATAGCTACTTTCGGAACATAAAACCTGGCTTTCTTTGGTGCACTCTAGGAGGAAGTTTATTACCGATCAGTAAATGGATCCTGTATAAACACATGGACTAGTGCTTACATAGCCAGTAGGTGTTATTCTTTACAAAATATTTGAAAATTGTGTGTGTTGTATGTTTATTAACTCAACCCAATGATTTTAATCTTTTGGGGAACTATTTTCCAAATACCAGTAGTGGTAACACTCCTCTAATTTATTGGCTGGATTATTATTTGTTTTTCTTTAAAAATAATTCTAGGCAAGCATGGTCAGAAGAGTATTATCAGATCAATTCATATTATTTTGGTAAATCAAGATGAAAACTTGTCTAGGTGGTTTGTCAGTACTCCTGCTGCAAACACCAAAAAGGCATACGTGTGCATGCATACACACACATATGCATGTGCGAGCACACGGGGACACACACACATGCATGCATTTAGTAATGGTAGCATCCCCGATGCCTGTTAGCAACTTATCTGATAGACATCAATTGGATGTTTAAGTTACGTTATACCTGTCAGACTGACCAACTAGCAGAAGCTGACACACTCCAGAGTTTAAACACTGGCTGTTTTCCATCTGGAATACCACAGAGGGTTAAAACAGGGTTTTCCCCATGACCATCCTGACCCCACCACATTAAATTGTGCCCTTCCATTGTTACTCACTTCATCAGCAACACACACACCTCCCCTTTCTCGCACTAGCTCAAAGGCTTCTTTTAGAAACCCCTTTGGGTACTGGACAACTCCATTCACACCCTGTAAAAGACAAAATCAAGAAGACTTATGAGCCGGGCATGGTGATGCACACTTGTGATCCCAGTACTCCAGGAAGCTGAGTCAGGAAGATCATCACAAGTTTGAGGCTAGCCTGAGCTACATTAGAACAAGTCCTTTCACAGTATTAAAAAAGGTGGATCTTATAATAGCAATATTAATGATTTTATAAACAGTCTGTAAATCTGTTCTAATCATGCCTTTTGGAAAACAAATGAAATATTTATTCTTTTCTGAGATTAGAAAAAAGTAGAATTGGGCCGGGGATTTAGCTCAGTGTTTCCACTGCCTGCTTTGCAAGTGCAAGGTCCCGAGTTCAATTCCTGGTACCACACACACATACACATACACACACACACACACACACACACAAAGTAGAATAAGGGGACTTGGTGAGATTTAAGGAAGACTCCCCCTGACATTGTAAGTGTTAAGCAACTAAAAATCACAGGGATTTCCTTTTCCTGGGAATTTCATCTCTCTGTAAAAATGGGGGTCAATTTAAAATCAAGGCATTATGGTTTCTAAGGGGACCAAGAAAATGAATTATTTTGGAATTCTCTAAAATTTATGAGTTAAAACTCTCTTCATGTAGAATTGGGTTCAACTAATGTCTAAGGTTTTATACTTACTTGAATTGGCTCTGCAAAAAATCCAGCAATTGACTTGGCCACGCTAGTGTTCAGAGTATCTTTGAACTGCTCAATATACTGGTCTTTAGCTTGGCAGCAGTCTACAAAAGACAAAGCAGAACACACACACACACACACACACACACACACACACACAAAGAAGCACACAAACCACAGCATTTAAAGATGTGAGAATGGCAGTGCAGAAGAATGGGCAAAAATCATAGAGAAAATAAGAAAAATAGAGTAAATTAACGGGAGAACCACAGAATATGGTAAACTAGGATATGAGGATATTTGTTTCTGAAAAGGAAGCATTGTGTAGAAATGATTTATAATTATTAGGGTAGCCATAAGCACATGAAAAGCCACTGAAGTCATTTCCATCTGGGAAAGAAGTGCCCCCAGCGTGTTGCCGCATGTAGCGTAGCTATTTCACTGAAGGATATTCATCCTCTTAAGTGGGTGGATCTAATTCAAATGTAACTGGGGTAATTTAATCTACTTATAATTAATAGGAAAGAAGAGAAAGAAAAAAAAAGGTACGGTAATCCAGAGCAGTGTATCTAAAAGTGTATTTTGACTGAGTACAATGGTTTTGCATTTTTATATGTCCTTTGTCCTACAAAGTTGGTTTTCAGTCTATGTGAAGAATTGACTTTATAAGGTCTTATAGGATAAACAGATGAATCTGATGATGGAAAACTAAAAGGGAGGTGAAGGGAAGGGGGAAAAGGAAGGGAACGGAGAGATGTTATGGACATGCATCAATGCCTTAGAGTGAATGGAATCATTATGTACCACAAGCAAGTACTAATAAAAATAAAAACATTTGAAAACTCCAACTCATTTACTTTTTATCACTACTTAATTTGATATACCATTTTAAAGAGTAAAGTGTTTCTGTCTTTAGTCAGTAAATATGTTTACAGAACTATTGGAATTCAGTCTACAGAGGAATGGGCTAGAGTCAGACAACTTTCACCCGCTGTGGCTCTTGGCTTTTGGTTTCATGCTCGTTTACAGATCTTTCCCCTTTAATCGAAAGCAGAAACTATGCCTTGTTCATTTTTGGAATACTGTGGGTGCTCAGTAAATATTTGGTGAACTGACAGGAGAACAAACAGTAGAAACTATGACTAGTGTCAGAGACTGAACAATTTCTTTGAAAATCTTTCTTCTCTGGATAGGGAATAAAATGTCCTTGTTCAAATGATGTGTTTAATTTATTAATTCTCTTTTTGACTGGATCTGACTGCTCATAAACCCACCCACCATCTTTTAAATGTCAGTGATTACTTTTTTATTGCTAGAAGACGTACTCATTTTAAAAATTTCCTTCATCAGTTTTTATAGTTTCTTATCTCCTACACATATTTATTTTCAAGCTTATATTTGATTTACTTTAAATATATTAAACACATTCATTTTCTAGTCTATCTGATAACCATCGCTTGAAATCCCCGTGGGTCTTTTTCACGACTCTGGAGTTTTGTTTCCTTGAATGTTGGTTATTCTTGAGTAAACATTGTTTATTTTCCTTGTAATTTCACTTGTGAGACTTCTTTGAGTCCTAGAATGAGGTAGATTCCTCCAGAGTATTTTTACATCGCAGCTTCCAGGCACATGGCACATTTGTAGCCTAAGCTTGAGGCATACTATATATATATATATTTGTATTTCATGGTGGTTCAGATTTTTTGGTAGTTATTCCTCCAAGGTTCTCCCCTTTCCTTCCATTCAGCAGGAGAATCCTTGCAGATTTCTCGCACATGGTGAGTTGCTGCTGGGACATTTGTTTCTCTCTGACTATGGCTAAGGGTATGAGCTCTGGGAATTCTGGCTGTGTTGAAGAGGAGGCTTCCTTATGAGAATTTTCTTTGGCTCTGCCCTGGACTTTGTTATTTCTTTCCTGCACCCCTAGAATTATAAAAACTGAGGCCCAAGGTTACCAGATTTGACAAATGCCCTCAGACCAAAAGCGACTACACTGCTTTAATGATCTCTTTAGGTTTTTGAGAATTGGTTTTTATTTCATTGTTTATTGGTACTTTTTAGGTATACAGTACAGTTACATTCATCATTAGGATCTTGTGCCTTTACATGATGTATCTTCGTTCTTATTTTTTCCCCATTCCCCTGGCCTCCCTTCACCCCTTCCACCCTTCCCTATTTACAAAGACTTTGTTTCCATTTTTTCCTTTTCTCATATTTTTTCTATTCCTTCTTTCCTTTCCTTACCCTCCCCACCTCCCCTAATCCTGTAGCTCTTTTCTTTCTATTTCACATGGGAATTGTTTTATTTGCTTTTTTTTAGGAATCCATATTTTTTAAATTAAAACATTTGTAAAAATTTAAAGTCTGACCAGGGATTTAGCTCAGTGGTGCCACTTATTGCTTGCTTCACAAACACAAGGTCCTGAGTTTGATTCTTGGTAACCCCCCAAAGGAATTAAAATTTAAAGTTTAGAAATTGGGTAAGGATGAGAAAAATCTAAAACATGATTTCAAGTTAGTAGTTCCCTGTGTTTCTAGACTATAAAATGGCCTTTCAACCACACTGTTTTTCTCTTGTAAATTAAAAAAAAAAGTTTTTTGATACCAGGGCTCAAACTCAGGCCCTTGCACTTACAAGGCAGGTGGCAGAACCACTGAGGCAAATCCCCAGCCTTCTTGTAGATTGTTTTGGAAGGTATATTAGAGAAACTTTTGAATTATAGGGACATTTTTTCTAAGAATGGAGTGTATTGTTCAGATATCTGGGAACATTTATTTCATTCTTTAAAAGGATCCATTCTATTTTCAGTAATTTTCATTGTTTTAAAACATTTTGATAGGATAGAAAGAAGTGTTCTCAATGAAGAATTTTCTTTTCTCCAAATAGTAACTTGGTTTTGGTTACTGATGTGTTTTGAAGTTCTTTTTGAAAAAATGTGCAAAAGAGTAATCTCTGAGTTTCCTAGGTCTTGGTAATTTTAGTTTAATTATTGCTACTTTCATTAGCGGAATATTTCTTTTTAGTTTATATATATAAAAGTTTAAAAGTAATGTACTTGTGCTTAGTTCTATAGAATTAAACTGATTTTTTCCAGAAATGAACTTTAAATATCATAGATGAGTTCAGACTATTATGTGAAATATTTTGCTTGTAGTAATCAAGTATTATTTGATTTTTCAGGGATTTCTGAGAATCCTGATGTTTTTGTATCAATGCTTTAAAGAGTATATTTCATATTTTATCTAGGAGTTTTGGTTGTTTGCAGTTGGAGATAACTCAGTCTGTCATATTTTTTTTTTGTTTGTTTGATTTTGTTTTTTGGTACCGGGGATTGAACTCAGGTTCTTGTGCTTGGGAGGCAGGTGCCAGAACCACTGAGCTAAATCCCCAGCCTCAGGCTGTCATATTAATGCTCTTGTCCGTCCAGCTCAAGTATCTTAGTAGTAACCGTTTTTCTGCTTTGTATCCTACTTCAATATGGTAAGAGTATTTCTGCTGGTGGTGATGGGTGCTACCCTGTTAGACACCCCACATAAATAGACATGAAATCTTGTGGGTGAAAGAGGACACAAGGAAGGGGAAGATTGTCCAGAAGGGTTGTCCAAGCTCAGAAGCTGGTGTGTGTGTGTGTGTGTGTGTGTGTGTGTGTACGCGTGTGTGTGTGCACATGTGTGTGCGTGTGATCACTGAAGGTGGGAACCACCAAGGAAGCAGAAAGGGCAATAGAGGGATTCTTCTGCTCTGGGAGTACTAAAGATCCCAGATCAATTGCATCCACAAATTATTGAATTTTCAGAATTTTTATGGTTTATGCTTTAATTCTAAAGAGCATTATAGCATTTCTGAACTAAATTCAAATCTACGGCCAGCAGAAAGAACACAGAGGGGTATTTGAATGGGATAGAAGCTCTATGACCGTATGACAGCAAAAGCAGTCTGAATGGGAGAGAATCACCACCCACTATGAGATCATTTCCCTAGAGGTTGAGATAATTTTCCTAGAGCTTGTCTCCTGAAGGCTGGAGATATGGAAGAGAATCCACCAGTAATCTCCATCATAGCTAAAGCAAGAATAACTTTATACCTCAGCTCTTCTTAAGAAGAATCAAAGAAAAACACTATCTGCCCCCAAACATGTGATAGTTTAGCACTTCAATTTACATATCTATCTGATATCTTTGGTTAGTTGGAGATCAGACGTTAGGTGCATGAAAAAGGAAGAGTGATAGGGATATAAAACTCAGAAAGCATTTTTAAAGAATCTCTTTTGTTGTTTTGATGAATGGATACAATAGACAAATCTATGCTTCTAGAGAGTGAAATTCTCTATTAGAAAAGGAAGAGAAAATGCCATTGGATAACACTAAAGGATGGATTAAAAGATATTAAAAAGACATAATTTGGAGAATCAGAAAGTCATTTGTAGTATAAAAATCAAAGATTAGAGTAAAATCAATCCAAAGTGTTAAATTTGGTTGCAATGATACCAAAGAGAGATTTTACTTGAGCCTCTGCTAGATAATTCATGGCTTTTCCTTCCTCTGCCCACATGTTCAGTGATGAGAGGACTGTCACTATGCTTATCTCTGTATTTATACTTGCTTCAGTGGCTCATTGCTGTGACTCCAGGTTAGGTTGCCTCTGGAGAGAGAATTGGTACATTAGTGTCTCCATGGTAACTTCAAGAGGATGTGGATACTACCACAGAGTGGCTATGGGACTCTATTTTAGTTGGTGATACAGAAAGAGTGGAATGAGGTGCCTAAAAGATCAACAATTTTTAAGGAAAATAAAACTTTCCTTCCCTGAGGAAAACAGTATGATCAGCAGCATGACTGGGACATTACAGGGGCAGTGGGGATTGAGAGGTGAATTTCATATTAGGTTACATCTTAAAGTCAGGCTTGGAATGAACCTCTGGAGAAAAAAGTTCTGGGAAGGTAGACATGAATGAAATTTATGTTTCTCACCATCATTTAGCCTTTAGATGTGACTACCGAGATGACCATGGGGTCTGGAGTTTTCAAGTTTTTAAGGCCTCAAAAAAGGAGGGTGCAGGGAAGAAAGAAGAAGAAGAAGATGAAGAAGAAGAAGAGAGGAGGAGGAGGAGGAGGGGAGGAAGAAGAGGGTTGTGCAGTGGGGAGGAAATGAACATCTCATAGACATTCCGTCTACTAGATTCTTTGATGGTGTTTTGCAGACAGTCTTAGACCTGTGGGCACATCAAATTGATTTTACTTCTTGATCTACATAGATGTGATATAAGGCTTTACTTCATATAGTCAAGTAAAAATTAAATTTAAATTTCTATTAACTTCCCCCCTCTGCAAATATGATTATATGCCCTATATCCTGCAATGTGATGAGAGTTGGGGTAGGGGGATAGGTATTGCTAACTTTGTTTTACAAAAGAAAAAACTGAAACAAATGATGGTCCTTTTGTTTTAGGTGAACCCTAGTAGGGATGGGCATGGAAGTGAGATTTCTTGGCTTCATGCACTTCTTCCATCATGGCCAGAAGAGCAGAAGTTGTTCTTCAGCTTGGCTTCAGCTTGTTGGTGCATCAGTGTGAATGAGGCGAGACACAGGTGTTGGAAGCACTGGCTTTGCTGTCAGAATGTCCTAGCTCTCTCATTTCTGCTATGTGAACCTTGGTTTCCTTGTCTCTAAAATACAAAGTTTGAATTATAGCTTTGAACTTCCTTGTGGTTTTAAATCTTGCAACCAGGATATTTTGTCTTGTTCCAGTGCTCATTATTCCATTCTCCTACCTCCATTTACTTTGATTCCATATGAATTTGAAGACTGTGGTGACTCTGACTCTTTTTTATTCAAGGATGACTCTTAAGACTTCTCCTCTCAACCTGGTGACGCAAGCTATTCCATTAAAGATCTTTTGGCTACAGCAGTTTATTCTTTCTTCAGAAGTACTTAGGAGCAGCTCTTCAAAAGGTCCTGTATTATGATGACAAATATGAGACAGGGCTTGCTGACAACCAAAGTGAAAATTATGTTTCCTCGGCATGTCTCTTCATGTTGCGGACAAAAAATACAAATAAAAATGTGACTAATAAAATAGAAAATTTCCATATGCTTTTAGAACTTTTGCAAGAGATGTCACCAGATTCCAGGAATGGTCTCATGTTTTGACAGATGCTCTTACTTTGGCTGGCATTCTGAGTCCCTGGAGAACTTTTCTTTTTTCTTGACTGGAGTTTTGAATTGTCAAAAGTATTCTTTTTCTTTTTCCCTTTTCCCATTGTGAATTGGTAAATAGTCCCATCCACCTCACTTGCTTTTACAATTGACATAGACCTAATGTTAAGAGAACTAACAGAGCTCCTTTAATCAATTGTCAGGTGGTAATGGGTTTTAAACTTATGTCCCATAGCTTGAGATACTTTTCCTAATGTCCATAGGGAAGCCTTGGTGGTAAAATAGTGGTAGGCATGAAAAGAGTTGATTTTTTGAGCGGGTCACTTATTAGTTTCTAATTTTGTTTCCTCTGAATTTTCCCTTTCCCATTTCTCCAAATTTGGTTGTGCACACAGGGATGATTCTGTCCTTCTACTTCTTCACCCCTCTTGATTTTACACTCTGCCCCTTCCTCCCTGCCCCACTGGACCTGGTGCACAGCTGCATTTCCTAATTGTTTGTACTGGAGAATCTCGACAGTGGCTTCCTCCCCAAGGGCCACGGAAGACATCTGGGCACATTGTCTGCAAATGAAAAAGAAGGATTTTGGCAAAATAGGAACACAAGACAGCCAGTTTGTGAGAGCACGTGGTAGCAATCAAGGCAAGAGGGCTTCTGAATTTGATACTGAGATTCTGTCTCCTCACTCTCCCCTTTCCTTAGGGTGAAAATCTAATACCATACTTTGAAGATTTTTTTTTCTCAGAAACCACTTATGTGGGCATTCTTCTAAGAAAACTGATTTAAATGTTAGCCTAGAAACAATTTTCTCAAAGGTTTATTGGATAAGGGGATTTTAAAGAATAAAGATAATTAAATAACTGATTCGGAGGTTGAAAAAATTAATACATATGAGAACAGAAGGTGAGGACAGTGACAAATTTGTGGATTCAACATTCTCAGAGTCTTAGGTTTACTTGGTTGTACTTAGGAGCAAAGAAGTTTCAAAACTCTATCAATAATTATTACTCAGACTCTGAAGGCCTTTAATAAGAAACAATCTCCTTAAGTGGTCTTCAATTGAGTCAAGCTGATGCTCAGATTAATGATAGGCTTTATATTTGTTTCTAATTGTAAATCTTATCAATTAGTCCACATACACAGCAGTTCTTTGAGCAACAAGACAACAAACAAACACAAACTTAAAACTCACTGATTGGCAACCCATCCCACTGGGGAGTTCCATCTTGAAGGTCCCTATATTCGTCAAGCCAAGTGTGTAAGGACTGCATCCATGGTAGGCTCCTCTGCAGAGGAAAGAAATGGGAGGATGGAGTCATGTTAATGTCTCTTGTATTACTGGCCTGAGAAGAACATGCACAAGAGAATCTGTGATGGCTAGAGAGATGAACTAGAACAACATATACATTGAATTCGATAGTTTCTAAGAACTCTCCCAAGCCTATATGACATGAATGTACTTATTTATCTTTTCAGATGGTATCATGGATTTAAAATTGTAAAAGGACTTTTGGAAGTCATCTGGCTAAGAATTCTGACTTTAAAACTCACCCCATACTATTACTTTAAAGTTGTGTCCTGGATTCTTTGCTGACTCTGAGGGCCCAGGACCAAAATATTGGCTGTCCTCATAGTCCAGCTACCTTTCTAGTTTTGGTCTCTAAACTTTAGTTGTTGAACACCCAGAAGACAAGATCAGTGAAATTAGTAGTTCAGTAGGAACACTGAGCTAAACTATTATAATTTTGTCTGGACATTAAGCACTGTGAATTATAAAGCATAGTTAGGGGGCTGTTATTTCTTATCAACCATGGTTGTTTTAGTAGTTTAATCCCTGCAGAATGTTAACGGACAAAAGTTATACATTATAGAGAAATTTAAGATCAAGAGCCACACATAGTATTGTAGCCTGACAATAATGGTAACTTTTTTTTTTTTATATTGTTTGGTACTGGGGATTGAACTTGGGCCCTTGCACTTGTGAGGCAGGTGGTGGAACCATTGAGCCAAATCTCCAGCCCTAATAACATTTTCTTTGTAACACTTACATGTTCATTAGTATGGAATGAACAGTCTTTCAGTCAAACAACTCCGTCTAATCACAAGACATTAAATGACATAAAGAAAACTCTTAGTTGTTATCCTTTATTATGATGTCATCTAAATAGAATATACATATTGGCCTGTAAATATACCTTACACATTCATAATATCTAATCTCTAATTTTAGTGGTTGAAATTGTTTCGACTGTTTGGCGACTGAGCATCCCTAAGTGTAGTGATGCATATAACACATCACATAAGTTTTTAAGAAAACTATTATTTGACTGGTTATCTCATGCTGGCTTGACATGAGAGAACTTTTTCTATAGGATTCTACATCTTTGTTAGGTCACTCAACTTCCTGAGCAGGGAGATTGCTGGACACCAGAAGACAAATATACTGTGTGCCAAAGGAGGGTCATCATGAGGGAAAAGTCACCCACATTTTCACTGAGAGCAACATGGTCTGGCAAGGCTGTGACCCATCCTGACAGCTGATGCTGACAGAGGATCTGAGAGGCTCTATGCATGGTTCCAAAATATTTGCTTGAAGAGACTTAAATGACTTTGATAGATAGCAAGAGGTTCATGTCAATGCAGGTCTCAATTTAACTTTGTCTTAAACACCCAGCAGAAAAGAATAACCAAAGGAGGTATAAGATAATGTCATAGTAAAAAAAAATAATGCCATAGTAATAAAGATACATATAAAAAGGGGCTCCATCACTGACCCATTCTGGCAGTTTCCAGCTCTACCAGTAGCTGACCATGGTTATGGATCATTAGGGAAAAACTATAGTAAACTCTGTAAGAGCTCTGCTAGAGTTTTATATTTCTTAGAAAAATTTGTTCTTCAAATTGTCTCTTACAGCTAAAACTAGAGAGACTGATGACAAAATATCAGACTTACAGGTAACCTCTCTCAATGAAAAACTCTAAGTCCAGCAGTTTCAATCACTTTCAGTTTCTAATTGTGAGTTTCTCCCTAACCTGCCCTTTCATTCTAGTGTGCTCATGCTTAGATTATGCATACTCTAATTTCTTAAAAGTTTTATTTATTCTTGCCTAGAGGCTGCCAAACTCCAAGCCATCATACAAATGAAACCAATGAGAAATGTGCTAGACTTCTTTTACCTGGATCCACCAGTTCAATCTTGTAAACAGCTCATAATTTCTAAACTATATAATATGACTTCTGTGTTGGATTCGGAAGTATCCTGGACTTTCACCTTATTCTCTTTGTTCGCTGTATTCATAGCAATCCTGCTGACCTTATCATTTGGCCCATGCATTCTTAACTGTTTCTTTGACTTTGTCTCCACCAGACTTAAAAGCTATGCAGCTACCAAGATGACAATGCCAGGCACCTACCGAAGGCCTTTAGACAGACACATTGTAGAGTAACTGTAACTGCTGACCACAAGTATGACCCTCTTCAGCTGGAAGTAGAAAGAGCTGTCTTCACCCTTTGCCCCTCATAGCAGTTAGGGGTACTTCTTCAGAGTGGGGACATTGCAGGTAGGTAAGTTAATTGGATATCTTGTAGGCAGTTAGACAGGGCCACCCTCCCCTCAAGGAGCCAACACAGCAAGGAGCTAACATGGAGGACAATCAAGGCACCTTCACTAAAGTCCAGAATTATAAAAGGAGATAAACTACTATACCTTTATGCTTCCCCTGGGGATAAATAGCAGTGATTGATATTCTAAATAGGTTTTAATCACCTGGGTGGGGGGACGAAGGTCTTAACCCAGCCTTTTCAGGAAATAATCCTGACCCCCACCCTTACAGAAAATCCTTGTATTCTTTCTATGTGACTTGCTCCCCCATTTGACCCCCCATTTAATCAATATTACCTGGGTGACTGTACTTGTCATCTTATTGGTTGGTCATGGTTTTGCTCCACCTTAAGGCCACCTTGTAATTTTCCACTGGGCCTTACAGTTTTGTCCCACTTTGAACCCACGCCACCACATAGCTTTGATGTATAAAACATCTTTGAAAAGGGGTGAGAGGATAACCCACTTTCTAGTCCCCCTTTTGTCTCTCACACAGAAGCTTTCTTTCTCTCAATAAATTTTTCCTACTCTTTTAAAAGAAAGCTGTGAACCTCATCTATAAGCAACATACCAGAAATTATATGTTCAACAACTGCTAGTTTTCAAAGTCGTCAGTTTGAAAAGACAAGTATTTGTTCCTGTGATGAAGCTGTTGTCAATCTCTTTTGGGGAATGGTCTTTAAATTACTTATAACCCCTCATTTGACCTATAAGAAATATAGGTTTTATTTCTTTTGAACATGACATAGTCATATTTAGTGTAAGTCATACTAATTAATTTGGACCATTTCACAAATCCAGATCACCTTTAAATGAAGATGTAAAGTTATTTGAAGGATGGTCATATATCTTGAAAGAGGAGACACATGTTAAACTTTGGTAGTACATAACTCCTGCAAATAGAACAATATTAATTTGGGCATACATATTCTGGAACACTATTTTGATAAATCATAATCCTTTGTTTGATATTTATTTGATAACAAACATGCTTACAATAACTGCATGTGGATTATATATATATGGAATGTATGAGTTTAGACTGAAATTTTAACTAGTTAGGCTAAAAAATGAGACTATTCATTCCACCAGTTTTTGCTGTAAGTTATTGCTGTCTTTTATAAATATCTTATGAATCTCATTATCCTTATGAGTCTGCTAAAAAAGGTAACTGTGAATAAATTTTTAATTTTCTATTACTTTTAATACTAAGATAACCATCAAGGACTTGTCAAGCCATTTTAGATGGAATTATCTAGTTAGTAAATTAACTTGACTGTTTTTGCCCTAAAACTTAAAATTAGAATGATATCCCAGAAAAGCTTCTTTCCTTTTCCAGGCCAAGATTTAAAGATGCACATGTAGTATTGGGACAAATTAATATCATTAAGGGAGATTATTCTAAGGTGTGATTACCTGAAAGAAATGATGTCTGTGTTTTTTGAGTGTGCTCTTGCCATCAGCATGGCCAGATCATTGGCTTCTGAGCCACTGTTCACCAAGAAAATGACCTGGAGAGAAAAAGAAAACATGTGACCCCATACTTTAATTTAATTCTTGATTATTCAATTCATGCAAAATTGCTAAAGATTGTATCTCACTCTCAGAGAGAGTGGGGGGAATCCTTCAGATCAGTTTGCCTAGAAGTCCCATTATTTAGTCACTATATTAATTCTTCAGCTTTTCACTGAGTGGATGTTATGTGCTAGAAATACAAAAAGAGCTAAGAGGTTGTCAGACTATTAAGCATTTTGGGTTCTCATTGGTTTAATCTGTGAAATGCTAAGGTAGGGAGCCTTGGTGAGGAACATGGCGGTTAGCAATTGAATACATCTGAGGTCTTCTAGCTCCTCAAGCCTTCTAGCTAACCCATTCCACCTGATTCTGAAGGCTTGGAATGAAGCGAGACTTCTGATCCTGCAATCCCAGGGGATATTCTAGCCTGGCCACATTGTGTGTGTACACTGGAAAAATAAGTGAGTAAATAAAAAGTACAGCTCAGCCTAGATGAAAGAATGGGGAGGACTGAGGGGATCCAAGTCCTCAGGCAGGGACTGGGAAGCATGTGTTTATGACTACTGTCATAAACACCATAAGCAGCACCCTGCTTCTACTATTTCATGAACATCTGGCTCTGAATATAGGTTGCAGCTATTTCAAATTTCTCTATATATCCTAGATAATAGTATAGTAAATAGAGTCCTGGATAATATAGATGCTAGGATAGAATAATAGCTAACATCAGGTATGGCACTATTATAGATTCTTCATAAATATTAACTCATGTAATGGTTAAATGCCAATCTTGGTCAACATTTTTAGAGCTCAGTTCAATTTAAAAATTCAGTCATTTCAAAAAGTGTAGGGAAAGTAGGAAGGGTAGGGGAAAGGTAATAAGAGAAAGGAAAAAAATAGGGGAAAATGAAAAAATGGAAATAAAATGTTTGTAAATGGGGAGGGGAGGAGGGGGTGAAGGGAGGGCAGGGACAAGGGGAAAAAATGAGAACCAAGACCTGTCATGTAAAGGTACAAGATCCCAATAATGAATGTAACTGTAATATATACCTAAAATGTACCAATAAACTCAATGAGGAAAAAAATTGAAAAAAAGGAAAAAAATGTAGTCATTTCAGAGGCAGAAAACATCTAATTTAACAAAACTATCTAAGTGCATTTTAGATTGTTAATTCTTAAAAAATGGCTCTGCTCTTTGTAAAAGAAGAAATGCGAATAACTTTTCAGAGAAGCTAAGGAGCAAAGACATGAAAATTTCTTGGGACATAGAGGTGAAGACCAAAGAGAACTGGTGTTAGGGAACTGATCATGTTAAAGTATGCTGTGACGCTGCCATCACAGGCTGTATTCTCCTGCTACCTCTTGGCTCCTAAAACGACCTCATGCCCTTATCTCTGTCCCCCCCCCCCCCCACCCCCCGGCCCCCAGGCTGGACCCATAAAAGCAATCTGGCCTGTGATAGGTTGAAAGTAGCTCACCCCTCATCAATAATCAATAGCTTAGCCCAAAAGTAATAAAAGGACCTTCCCTTCTTTGTTCTCTTCTTCTACCCCTTCTTCCTCTCTGCTCCTGCTTCCTGAATAAAGTCTCCTGTCGGCCTTCTCGGTGTTTGTGTGTGGACTAGTTGTTGAGCATCTCTGAAACCCTTTCAACTGGGGCTGCTAGTGATTTGGACAGAGGTGTCATAACAAGAGTCACCAAGGTAAGAAGATAAGAGAGGATTCAAGTGAATATTGGCTTGTTTCATCAGCAATTCATAAATTGTTTTCTTTTGCTTGTTTACTTCCAGATGCTGCTAACAGCTCACCATGACAAGTGTTCACTGGATTGACCACATTTCCTGCCCATATTCCTGCTTCTCTGGGCAAATCCCTTGGAATTCTGAGACTATCTTTTTAAGTTGATAACACATACCTTTAAGGGCTCAGGAAGAAGGGCCAAGAGCTCCTCTGCATATTTGTGTACTGCAGGGTGGAAGAAGACAGAACTTGTGTGCCACAAGCGTCCAAGCTGTTTTTTTGCCACTGTGTTTACCTTCCTGGATAAATAGAAGAGTAGAGTCACCCACATTGCCACAGGATATAGCCTTCCAACACACATACTAGCCACTAAACTCAGACATTTGGTGATTTCTCAGTCTCAAGAGGCAGGTTTCATCTGCACTTAAGAAAAAACTCCTCTAGCTAATAGAGGTGTCCAGCAATGGTACATCTTGCCTAGTGATAATAAATTTTTCATTGTTCAAAGGAGGCTAAAGGATTGTGTGCTTGGGATTTGAAATAAAAATTTCTTGTTTAGGGGGGAGTTTGGGCTTAGCATTTCTTCTACTTATTTTTTAAACAATCTTTTGAACATTTTAGAAGTAAGTATAATTTAGTGGTAAGCCTGAGTACCTTCACATTTTGTTTTTCTAAAGAATTATAGATTCATCAAACACATGTATACATCACCAAGAGATTTTCCTCCAAAAGAGATCCCATGACCTGGGTCTGAGGAGGGGTCAGTGTTGAAGAATGTTTTGTAATGATGAAACCACATTGTTTGAAGGACTGAGCCAAGTCTATAGAAAGTTCACATTGAGGAAAAGTTGGAACTAAATGTAGAAAAATATGTGGGCCCCTCTAGGAAAACTAGGAAAGGCAGGGTAAGGTGTTTTACTTCGTCTAAAAGACAGCAATTGCTAAAGTTTGTTTTACCCTAATTATGTTTTTTATTAATATGTGTCACTCCAATTAAATCTGTTCAATAGTTGAATAACTTTGAGACCTGCCAGATCAAACAGATTACCTGGGACTTATTAATACTTTTTTTTTTGGTACCAGGGATTGAACTCGGGACCTTGGGCTTTCAAGGCAGGTGGCAGAACAACTGAGCTAAATCCCCAGCCCCAACTTGTTAATACTTTTTTAACAGGTTAATGTACACTGTTTCCAGAAAGAAGATAGAGTTTAAAGTATTTCCTAAACTTATTTTCCCATGCAATTCTTTTTCATGGAACTGTCCCTGTGATTGATGTTCCAGGAATCTCACTGTAGAAATTTTGGAGAGTCAGTGTACTCTTAAAAGGAAGAGATACTTGGCTAAAGCACTGTTAGAAACAAAATGAGAGCCAGTGAAGCATAAAATGGAGGGGAGAGGATTACTACTAATATGGTGCTAGATTGCTGTCTCAGTCACTTTCTTCATCGCCAGGACACAACACCCAACACCCACAAATTGAGGGAGGAGGGGTCTATTTTGGCTCATAGTTTAGTGCATAGTTGGCTGGTTCCAAGGGAGAAATGGAATAGTGAAGGGCCCAGCCAAGGAAAACATGCTCAATTCATGTCAGGCAGGAAGCAGAGAGAACACAGTATCCGGAGAGTGAGATGTACCTTGCAGATAACAACCTTCAGTGACACATCTCCCACCAGGTTCCACCTCCTAGCAACACATTTAGCTCTGAACTCATTTGTGGATGAATGCACTGATAAGAACAATGCTCCATAATCCAATAATTTCCCAAAGCAGTGCAGGAGGCTTTGAGAGGACACCCCAGATCCAAGTCACAGCAGTGGGCACAGTGGCCTCAGTGGGAGGAGGAAGATCTCCTAGAGCATGGGAGTTGATGGAGAGGAGAGGAGCCAGTAGGAGAGGCATTTCTATGGAGGGAAAACTGTCCATGGCATCGGGTTGCTAGAGGGAATGAAATGTAGGGAAGCATCAAAGATGAATTCAATAGTCTTGCCTGGACCTCTGGGAAAACCCCAAGAATGGTTGAGAAATACTGCTGTTCCCAGTTCCTTTACAGAGCAGGTAGTTCACCTGTGACCCTTAGATAAATAAATAAATGTATTAATTAAAAAGGTTTATGTAGATGATGGATTTAACCTCGGAAATGTTAAATTTGAGCTGACAGTGGAATATAAAAGGTGAGAGGTGTCCTATATGGTAGTAGAGAATCTGGGGCATCTTGAGGTCTGCTCTAGCCTCATTAGATTCATTATTATAGCTTGGTCAGGCACCAAGACTGAATAGATGACTGAGGAAGTGGAAAATGCAGTAACCAAATAAGCAGGGACAGGAGAATGAGGCGGGTCCAGTTCTGTGGTGGGGGAAATAAGAGATGAAAGAAGTAAAGAGGGAAGAGCAGAGAACCAAGAACAGAGCCGGGGACACCACTAGGGGTTAGATGGAGATCAGGAGAAACACAAACGTCGTGAAAGCCAAGGACACTAATGGTCAAGTATTAGAGACAATGCCAACATTATTGGGAGGACTGAACAAAAGTGTTTAAAAGTATTCTCTTTTCCATTTTCTCTGCTTCATTTATGTTTGTTTATGTTATGTGGTAAATTTTATCTCAAATTTATTTTGGATGCTTCTTGGTACCTTGTATGGGATGGAAGCTTCCTGAAGACAGATGGCGAAAGAGAAGGAAATGGAGACGGTGAGACTGAATCTACAGGGACAACTCAGTCCTCAACCACAGACTCCTGCTGAAAGAGAAGACCTTTTGCCTCCTCCTTTGATATGACAATCCTATACAATTTATTTTTAGACTTTCTGCTTTTTCCTTGTGACTTAATGTGAATTTTATGAGGCAGATTGTTAAGGATAAGTCATATCAGATATTGAAATGAAAGACCACACAGGAACCAAAAGGGATGTAGAAGAACCTGATGAAACTGTGTGTGGAGGAGTTGATGATTAAGTCTTCAGGAAGCCTCAAGATTAATTGCTCCATACATTTCTAAGTAAATTTCTAACTAAAATTACATCTGTCTCCTATTAGCATTTCTTTCCTCACTCATCTCTCAGAGTCCATGAAGAGCTCACATTAGACCTTATTTCTCATCGTTCATCATCCCTCATCCTACACTCTTTTCTCCATGTTTTTCTGAAAGGCTCCTGCCTTTCTCTTCCTTTCTTCCTTGTCTCTGTCCTTGGGAAGTGGTTACTAGTGAAAAACACAGAGAAACACTCCAAACACACAGTCCATGCCACTCTGCATGTGCAGTGAGAATGGGGAGAACTTGCAATGTCAGAAAACAAAGTTCAGTGTCAAGAGCTATTACCCAGAAATGTATTTGGGAGTATTTCAGCCACAATCTGTAATAGGTATTTTTTTCAACTAGGGTAAGCAAATCAAGGGTTCTCAGTTAGTCACATGCTCTTTCCCATATTTTTCTGGAATTAGAACCCCTGGATTGTAAAGATACTCACGGGTGGCAGTGACCAACACTGACAGTGACAATCCCCGAAAAGAAATCCAGGTATCTGTTTCCCTCAGAATCAAATAGCCATTCCATGTGCCCCTGGTGGAGCATCAGGGGCTTCTGGAAATATGCTGTCACCATAGGAGAAAGATGTTGCCTGTGGATCTCCAGTGCACGGTCATAGGCAAGGGACTGCAGATAGACAAAGTTAAAATCTCTTTTACTTATCACCACAGTGCTGATAGGATCATCAGCATGTCAATTTAACAGTGCCTGGTGAGTGGAGCCTAGGGCCATGAAGGATCACAAATGGGTATATTTATTCAACATCCTTCTTATAAGTTGCTGAATCCTTTCCTTTTAGCAGGTAAAATTATTATTTGTGGTATTTTGATCCTTTTCTAGAGAAAACACAAGAAAAGGGCTGGCATTTTTATCTCTCAGTGGAAAGTTTTAGCTTTGGAAGTAACATTTTGTTCCTATTTTTGAAAATAAATAGTGAAGTGTCAGTGGTGTTTATAATTTTGATTATAAAACTTTTTTCTTGTATCTCTCTTCTTTGCGGATCTATAATTTCAGATCTATGAGTATTGTGTAGAGTGAAAGGTAAAAGTGTGCGTATATGTGTGAGAAGGCACACAAAGGATTTAGCGAAGGACTCTAGAAGATCGGATTATGTATTGCCATATTAATTAGTTAAAAGAAGGACACTTAAAAAAGGAGATGTGTGTCATTGCATGTGTGATGTATCTCTGCAATACATCAATGTCTGTCTGCCTCTCTATCTTTTGTGCTCTCACACATACACATCAACCCATAAAATGGTACTAAATTGTGTGGAATGTTTTCAGAAGCTCTCAAGGATTTAATGGGTAAAATATCTGGGATGGCACAGCTTAGTGGCAAGCAGGGGAATTTGTAGGTATTTCTTAGGCAACAAGATTGAGGCCTTCTATGGGGAAACACTTCTTTGGATTTTCCTGAAACCCTGAGTCTTACCTGGTATCTTTCAGGTAAGAAGTCACATGGAGGCATTCTGGGTTTTGTGTGAAGACCAAGCTTGGTTACAGATGCCCAGGAAGCACCTACTGGAAGTAAGGTTAAGTAGGGTTAAGATTGTCCCCTAAACTTGACATAGGTCTGTTTGTGACAGTTACCTATAGTTCCATGAATAAAAGTTTTTAGATATTTTTGTTTCTTAATTTAAAAAATAACAAATCAAAATTAATTTTGATTTAAAAACTGAGATGTCCTAATGAAGATTTCCTAGAGGAGAAAAAGAAAAAGCAGTTCCTCTTGAACCTAGTCCAAAAACCATGGAAGATGCTGTGCTGGGGCGAGACCTAGTTTTCCCACCACAGTCCCTCACAAGCTAGGTAAGCTCAGGTCAGAAGACCCTCAGTGTTGCCCCATATACATATTGACTGATTCTCTCTTCATTTGAAAAAATAAGTCAATGCAGTACATTGTGGGAGTCTATCCATTGTTAATAAAGGCACTTTTTAGGCTCTCAGCTTCTCAATGCCTGAATCCAGGTCTGTGAATCATTAATCATGGAGTTAAGTGGCCTTTGACTCCTATTGTAGGGGATGAAAAGGGACAGTGTTAACAAATACCTGGAATCGGCTGGACAGCCACTCTCTCTACTGAGTCTCCCAACACAAGACTATGACAAAGAGTGATAAGCTAAGCCAAAGGAAACATCAAATGTTTGGAGCTGGGAGAGAGTCTAGATGTTCTGGAGGATCAAAATACTCAATTATAGATAAAACTAAGATGGTAAACTGTTTTCTTTAAGCTTACCAAGCTAATTAGCTAAAGAACAGGAATGCAACTTTAAATTTCTAACTCTCAACCTAGTACTCTTCTTTATCATCCACGGGCACCTTCACCTTTCCTGCCAGCACAGACTATGACCTCTCTGCAGCAGTAGGATGGGATAATGAATCAGAAATATCAGAGCTGGAAGAGGTGCCTGGAGCCTTCAGGAGTACTCTTGGAAGAGAATGCTCCTAATTTTAAAGGTTCAAGGTCAACATCAAGCTAATTTTAGGGGTAGAAAGAGCTGAGGAAGTGAAGCCTCTTATTCAGCACAAAAGGTAAATGCATGAATGAAATGTGGGTGTTGGTGTGGCTATAAGGTCATAGCCCTAGGAAGCTCAATGAACAATTGTATTTTTAAATGAAGCTGGAAAGAAACAACTCTAAATTCATTTTCTCTCAAAGACATCCCATTAACTTTTCTACTATAAATAAACACTAATGTCATTAATTTGATCTTACTTTAAGAGCAAATGGTTTTGGGTATTCATCATAGAAATGACAAAAAAAGATAGCTTAAGTTTTCTGAGAATTTCACCTTTAGAAAAGCTTTCCATTGTGCCTGTCTGCATTAGTTACTCTTCTGGGATGGAAAAAATTTTTTTCGAGTGTTTCTGAGAACTGAAAATCTTTTGGCTTCATCAGACTCATTTTGCCATCTATAAAATTGGAATTGCTCATTGTGGAGGCTATCAGGTCTCTTGTCTTCTAGGTTATAGGAATTATGAGAGTTGGCTGGAGAGAGAAGAGAGTTGGAGAAAAAAACCTTGATAAAGAAAACCCTGAGGGCCCGGGATTTAGCTCAGTGGTTCTCGCTGCCTGCCTCACAAGCTCAAGGACCCAACTTTGAATCCTGGTATCCCCCCCAAAAAAAAACCCAACAACAAAAAACCCCAAAACAAAACCAAAAAACCAAAACCATGAATTTTAAACGCAAAGGCAGTTTCATCCATTAATTTACTCATTCGTTCCCAGAGAGACGAGTGTATGATGGAGGGTGAAGGTCCTACACGTAATACGTAACATTGTGCCTGCAGGAGAAAGGAAAAAGGAAGAACAGAAGACAGAGAAGAACAGAGACAGACTGCAAGCAAGCAGAAATATAGAATTTGTCAATAAGTGAAATAAATCAATATAATACCTGAAAAATCTTTTTCTTGTCATAACACCCCTTGAACAAATAATAGAAGAAATAAAAAATACTTTGACTTTCATTTTTTGCCAGAAAAATTAAAATCTAAATACCTAGATAATTGCACATATTGCTTATTCAAAATAGCCAATGTTTTGAGGGTGACATAAAAGCTCAGGGCTAATAAAACTTTTCTTAGGTTCTCAAAAATTATTTGTGTTCATACATGTGTGTGTGGATGTATATTTGTATGGGGGCTAGGGAAAGGAATTGATAACAGATTTAGTTTGGTAAAGCTGAATTCCAGAAGTATTTCTGAATAGGTTTTAAAAAATATTTCTTTTTATTTTTAATTTTTATTATTATTATTGTTATTTTTGGTACAGGGGACCAAACTCAGGACCTTGCACTTGCAAGGCAGGCAGCAGAACCACTGAGCTAAATCCCCAGCCCTCTTTTTACTTTTTTTAACTGATCTGATAATTGCCTTTTAAGACTAAACACAAATGACAACTACTGTTTTTCATCCAATTCACCAATTTCCGCTTCAGTTCACATGGAAAACTAGACACTAAAAAGGGAATTCAATTCAAAGAACAATACCACTGTTGTATAATAAATGCCAAGTGGGTGACTGGGTTTAATTTTCAGCTTCCTAATTCTTCCAGAGTTCTGCAGCAGATAAACCCTTTAGCTTTGTTTGCTTTCCTCAAAGTCATAATATCAATAAGGGAAAATTTGGAAAAATGAGAGAGAAATCATTTTTTGAGGATTTTTAGAAATTCCCGGGGAAATTCTCTTTGTCATGATAAAAATTTTTCCAATACCTATGATCAATTTTCAGTAGAGAGGGGGTATTTATTAAGGGCCTCCTTACCCTCTAAAGTAAAAAAAAAAAATTAGAAAAATACTTGAAAACACTCAATGCACAAGTGTAATTTATTAAAATGCTAATTAGGACATATTTCTGTATAGCATCTTAGTATTCTTTAAATACACTTGTTGTGTTTGCCATCCCATCTGATACTTAAGACAGTCAACAAGTCAGGCAAGGAAGATTTTATCATTCATCTACCTTGGAGCCAACAACATTGAATTCGAGGTACTGAGAGTTTGAGATACAGACTTCCATAGAGGCCATCTGGAACTGTGTTGGGGTCTGGAGATGGCATTGGTTGATTAGAGGAGAGGGTTTTTTTAAGTGCTTCCTCTGTAGGGGACTTTCCAGCTCTGAGACCGGAGAGCACAAACTGTCCTACAGCTGCAGAGGACACTCTTTGGTGATACACTCACTGCATCATCTAACCCCTGCCAAGATCTGTAACAACCTCCTCTCCCACATCTTACTGTGTGTGTTCTGAGCAAAAGGACATCACCAGATGCCGGCCTCCCATCAGGAGTTATGGAGAACAATATGCTGCTATCCTGAAAAACACTAAAAATGGAACTACGATAACATCCAGCTCTCCCTCTTCAACATTTTAAAATCAACATATCAAAAAGATGCCTGCAGTGTCATATTCACGATGGCACGAATACCACTGAGTTACTTTTCTTATTTGCTGGGACAAAATACCTGACACCCAATGTAAAAGGAGGACAAGTTTATTTAGCTCATAGTTTGTAGAGGTTTCAGTTCATAGTGGACTGGCTCTAAGGAAGGGGGGGGATAACAGAGGGGCACTGTAGAGGAGAAAGAATTTATGGCAGAGAGAAGGCAACTAAGCAATGAAGTAGTAAAGATGCAGTAAGTGACAACAGCAGGCTTCTTTCTATCCATTATATTCTATCCAGGCTACAGGTAGGTGGCACTCACACCCAGAGAGGGCCTTCTCATTATGCACTCCCAGAACAATGCCAAAGCAATCTGTGAACTAATTTAGTAATCACGCAACCTTGATCCTAGCATCGCATATTTAATCATGACATCATACACTCTAGATCCAGCCACCTCTTCAAAGCACCACTTACGACCTCATGAGGCATTGGGGGAGCAGCTAGACACAAGCCATCATAATCACCATAGATAAGATATAACTTCAACAGAAGTGTTCATTGGCAGATGAAAGGATAAAGAAAAGTTTATATGCACATGTAGATATAAATAATACTCAGATATAAAAATAATAAAATCCTATCTTTGTAGCAGAATGATTGGAGCTGGAGTGCACTAAGTAAAATAAGCTAGACACAGAAAGACAAATACAGCGTGTTGTTTCTCAGATATGGACACTAAACATCTTGATATCAGAGAAAGGAGTATAATGATTACAACAGAATGGGAAGGTAGTGGTGGAGGAGGATAGAGTGAGATTAGATAAAGGGTAACAAAATACAGTCAGATAGGAGGAATAAATTCCAGTGTTCTATAGCATAGTAAGGTTGATGTGTTTCATAATAACCCAGTACATATTTTATAAAGAACAAGAAGAGAGGAGTTCACAGGCTCTAAATACACAGAAATGATAAAAAGATGGAAATGTCAATTATCCCGATAGATTATGTATTTCAGGACCATGTACAATTAGTGTCAATTAAAAAGTAAAAGTACAAATTAAAAGAACTGAAAGCAAGCCAACTTTCTAAGCACTAATACTCACCTCCTCTTTTTACTAAAATTAATTTTATCAGTACATTTTAGGTATACAATATAATGACATGCATCATTGGACATTTTCACCTTTGCATAACCTATCTTGGTTCTTATTTTTTCCCCATTCCACTCCTGTCCTCCCTTTCACCTGCTCCCCCCCATAAGTTTATTGGTACATTTAAAGCAAACAATAAAGTTACATTTATTCTTGGGATCTTGTACCTTTACATGATAAGTCTTGGTTGTTATTTTTTCACCTAGACCCCTGCCCTCCCTTCACCCCCTTATCCTTCCCAGTTTACAAAGACTTTGTTTCTATTTTTCCTTTTTTCACATTTTTTATTTTCCCTTTTTTTCCTTCCCTCCCTTCCCACTTCCCCTTTAGCCATATTCTTCCTATCTCACCCCACCTGCTCTTTGGAAGTCACTTGCTGTCACCATCAACCCAACTCTACCACCCTCAGAGGTAGGCGAGGGATAGCAATAGAACTGATTACAGAGCATTTTACCTTGATTTTTAAAATTACTGGTGCTTAGAGTATAGTTTCCTGCTTTCTGAGCATAAGACGCTCAGTGTGATTCTAACTGCTTCAGAGAAAAAAGGATTTAAGTTTTGGCAAAAAACCCATGACTGAGGGAAAAGAAAAATCCTAACAGGATTGGGAGACAATTGAAGGATAGGGTATGGCAGAATTTCCGAGTTTGGAGTTAGAGAGATTTGGCTTTGAATTCCAGGTTGTCACTTCTATATATCTGACTTGGATCACATTTTAAATTATGCTTTATTTTTCTGCCTCCTAATCTATGAAATGTGATATGATTCATTACAAGTTTGTCTGAAGATGAAAAGAAATGTGTTTAAAGCTCCAGGCATGTATTAAGTTTAATAAAATTTAATTGGTGGGGGGCAAGTAGAAGAGAAAGGAAGGAGGCAGAAAAAAGAAAGATAAGGAGAAAAATGAAAACAAAATCGATCATGGTGGGGCATAAACAAAGGCCTCCCGTCCTTGTTTAGTGTTTGTGAGTACCAGATCCTGTTGATCCGGCTCATGAGCACGGAGACAGACAGCTGCTTAAATTCATGTTTACTAGAAGGAAATTTGTGAGAAGTAGTGGGAAATGAGTTCCACATGAAAATCACCTACATACAAGATATAATTCATAAAGCCCTAGATGTTTGGCTGCCCCAGGTATCTTTGTACTTGCTGTGCCTGCTGCATGAGCCTGAGCTCACGGGGGACCTTGGGGAATAGAACTGGCTTGGTGGACTCTGGGAAAATCATTGTGCTCTCAGAGTCTCCTTGTGAGTAACAGAGCGGATAGTCCCACATCCTAGTGGCATGATGGAAATTTGTGAAGACCTGTATCTCACTCAATAGCCATCCCTGATTTTAATACTTTGTTTTGAATTATTTCCTTTGATCTTTTTTCTTGATATTACAGCTAGATACTATTGTTATTACTTATGTTTAGATGACCCCCAAAGCCTCATGTGGTCATAGGTGAGGCATTTTCAGAGGTGGCTGGGATTGATTCATGGTGCAATGTAAACTCAAGGACACTAGGATTAAGTGTGTGAGTGCTACCTGCCCTAATTAAACTGGATAAAATAAAAGAGGCAGAAAGACGCTGGTAAGGTGCCTTGCTTTTTTCTACCTTTTGCCCACCATGAACTGTTTTTCCTCTGCAATGCCTGTCTGCCACACCACCCTACCCTGGAGCCAGCCAATTATGGACTGAAACCTCTACAAACTGTGAGCTGAATAAACCTTTCCTCCTTTAACTTTAGGTGTTGGGTATTTTATCTCAGCAACAAGAAAAGTAACAAAGACAAGTATGTTGCTTAAAATTTGACACAGTGTAATAGTTGCTTTTAATTATCTGTGAATTTCATTTCAGAGTAAAGGGAGGACTACAAAATGTTGGTTATGAAATGGGGGCATTGGATCAGTCAGCCAGGGTAAGAAACAATCACTGTGTTACATGCTCCTCATCCTGATCTATGACCTCATTCTGACCTAATTATCTTACATTCCCAGATCCCAGGCAACAAACTCCAGAGTTTAGGCTTTTCTCTCTTGCTGACCCTCTGCTGGCCCATGTCACTCTGGTTTCCACTCACGGCTCAGGGAGGGACACATCTTGAGGATCCTGGGAGAGGAGGTCTCCAAGTGCAAGGCTCTCGGCACTTGTCTCCACACTAAAGTCATCTCGCACAAGTCAAAAGTGAACTCCTGTGGAAGCAGATCAGCGAGTGTTCACCGACTCTCTGGACTTTGAGATTAGGCAAGAGAGGAGGCTCTCAAAGGTTAGTTCTGGACTGGTGACAGCCAATCACCTCTGGCTACCCCCGGAGTTTGCCATTGCTTGCAACAGTGCCTTACGTAGGGAGAGAAAAAGGACAGAGAGGGAGGAAAGCAGTCAGTAAAGAAGAGGAGGTAAGGAAGCTGAGAGAGGGGAGGAAGAAAGTAGGAGAGAGAGCCAGGAGGGAGGATGGGAGGGGAGGCAGGGGATCAAGCAAAGGTCACTTGGACCAGATTCGTTAGTTAGTCTTTATTCCATCAGGGCCTCCAAGGGGTGAGGGCTGGGAGCGGGGATAGGCTGTGTGAAGGATCAGGATTTGTTTAAAGGGGTCAGAGGATGAGAAACAAACAAGAGAGCCAGAGAGCAATGTCCATGAAATGAATAGAAAGAGAAAATAGTTTGGGGGTATAGAGAAAAGAAGAGGAAACAATGAGAAAGAGGCATTTAAACAGGGAGGAGAGTACTGAACATCCAGGAGAGGACTTGAACATCAGGGGTGAAGGAGTTGAGAAACTGAGGAGTCAGTGTGCTTTACTTTTATGATATTTTTATTTTCTTAAATTCCCATCCATCACTCCTGCCTCCTAATTATAAGCCCCATAAGCTATCATTTATTATGTTCACACCCTTTTATTGGCATAAATTCTTGTAAAATGTGTAATTTGTGAGGTGAATACATTTCTAATTGCTAACATAGATATGTGCAATTTTAATACTTGTATTATTTTTCTACCTTGAGCCATGTTCTTTTTTTATTTAAATTGAATTTATTGGTACATTCTAGGTAGACAGAACAGTTACATTCATTACTGGGATCTGTTCACACCCTTTTATTGGCATAAATTCTTGTAAAATGTGTAATTTGTGAGGTGAATACATTTCTAATTGCTAACATAGATATGTGCAATTTTAATACTTGTATTATTTTTCTACCTTGAGCCATGTTCTTTTTTTATTTAAATTGAATTTATTGGTACATTCTAGGTAGACAGAACAGTTACATTCATTACTGGGATCTTGTATATCTCAGGTCTTGGTTCTCATGTTTTCCCCTTGTCCCTGCCATCCCTTTACCC